GGGAGGCGGCCTGGGTCCGGCGGCTGCAGGTGGAAGGAGGCGGCTGCTCTGGCTTCCAGTACAAGTTCTCCTTGGACACGGTCATCCACCCCGATGACAGGCAAGGGCAAACGGGCGGTGTCGGTCAGGGGCGACCACTCACCGCGAAGGTGACGGGAAGGGTGCGCGCCAGACAAGAAGGCGCTCGGGTTGCGCTTTTCCGTCGGAGTGGCGGGGCAGCACAGCGGATGGTTAAATATGCTGCTTTTCTGCAGGGTGTTTGAACAAGGTGGTGCCCGTGTAGTGGTGGATGTGGACAGTCTGGCCTTTGTGAAAGGCTCCCTGGTGGACTTCAGCCAGGAGCTGATTCGCAGCTCGTTCCAGGTGGTGAGCAACCCCCAGGCCGAGAAGGGTTGCTCGTGTGGGACTTCCTTCTCTATCAAATTCTGACTGGACTTCCTGTGGATGGACACTGTCTGCAGACCCTTCTCGACAGTCCCCGGAGGGGTTTTGCTTGTTCTTTTTCCGGCTGCTCCCTCTCATCTCCCTCACCATGTAACGCAGGCTGCTGCAGATAACTCAAGCTGTGCGCGTCTGCCTTGAGCTTATCTTGAAGAGCTGTTGGCCTCCCCTTCTGAAACATGAAGTAGCTGTCAGCATGCACGCAGGAGCATCTTCTGTGCCTTGTGAACCACCTGCCAGGTGGTGCTGACTCCCCAGCCTTGTCATGAACATGGAACCACTTGTCTCTGCAAGAGTGGGCTGTATATATGTGTGTTTATTGAAAGCTCTTACTTAAAAAAAAAAAAAAAAAAGTTCAAACATGTTTGGCATTGTTTACACATTTCTGCACCCGGTTAGAATTTGTATTCTTTTGGGGTTCTGCGGCTTAGTCCTTGTTTTTCAACTGAATGGGACTCTGAGTATCTCTTCCCTTAGACCTCCCAGTGTTGCTGGCTTTCCACTTTCCAACTCACTGTGGGCTTTCCTAGCCGCTTCACTGAATCTCTTAACATGCAGCAGGTTTGTCCGGGTCCAAGCAATCTGTAGTGTTTTTGCTGTTCTGTCAGTCCGTGGGATGAAAACTTTTATTTGTTATAAATAAACAGAATTAGAAGATTGAGGTAGGAAGAATTAATAACTTATTTATATTTTTAACCAAAAAAGTACACGCGTGGCATGCACGCACCTCTTCCTTCATCCCACAGTGCTGTTTTAGGCCGTTCCTAAGCCTAACTTGGAATTTCCGAAGTCATCCAGACTCTCAGGTTTCATAGCATGTCTGCTGTCTTCTCTTGCCAGCAGGAAGGCAAGTTTAGGTGATGCATGTAGAGGAGGATCTGGAGTACTACTTAAGGGTCCTCAAGTCCCATCTTCCACTATCATTTTGACTTAGTTGTCTGAGAATCACTTTCAAACTCTGCTTCACAGTTTAATCTATTTTCCACCCCCAAGCCCCCACCTTGTGTTTTATGAAAGAGTAAAATAGCTCCTTTCCTTCCTGAACCTCCCGTGGAATGGGAAGCCTAGAGAGTTCCAAAATAATGTCCTTTTGATTTCTTGTTTTCTGTAGTTTGTCTGCCACTAGATGTCTTTTAAATCAAAGTGATTCATCTGTTTGTGGGTAAAAGGAGAGATGGGAGAATTATTTTTGTTCCCTCTTCTATGTTTTATCTGAGCACAACCAGATTGTCTAAGATTTCAATCTGGAAGCACTGCATGACTTTGATCTCAAGGAGACTGCTTATGGCAACCTATGAGCTTTTGAGTTCGTTGCCATAAGTGTTTTTGTTGTTACTGTTAAGCTTATCAACTGCCTTTCTAAACTACTCAACAGTGCATAGGTACAGCACAGGTCTGCCTAATGTTTTCTAGTGGTCAGACAGTTTACAGCCTGCCAGCATTAGCTTCATCCCTAGGTAGTCTGCTGCAGTTTTGTCACGTGCGGAATATGGATGGGATCTGGGGCAGCAGCTAACACTCTCTACTTGTTCCTGCGGTCAGCAAGCTTCACCTAGTTATGCCTCTGTCAGAGGGAGCAGGATGTAGCATTATCGCATTTTGGAAATGGGAATAATTAGAACATGATTAAGACACTTGTCTGAACCTTTGCTGTAGCCATGTCTTGGCCCTACCCTTATTACCTCAGTTTTCAGATATGTCAGCAAGAAGTACCTCTGAAAAGTGCAAGACCTAAAGGCTTGTGTAGGTAGGAGACATTAGATAAACCCAATTTCTTTCCGATGTGGTAACTAAGCAGTGGAAGATGGCAGGAGGAGTTGTTTTCTGAACCATTCTAGTTCCTGATCTGGTTCATACGCCTTGACCTTGCTTAAGTCTCTTTTGGCATCTTCTCTGGGAAGTGAAAGTCCAGCAGTAACGTCAGGGAGGTAGCAAACCAGCAATGTCCAGAGCCTTTTCCTAAATGAAACCTGCCTTCAGTAGGTTTTAAGCATGCAGCCTTCATGCTAGGTTAGTCTTTTCAGTAAATGCGCTGTGTCTGTTCAACTTAAACAGGTGCTGCCTGCGTTCAGTCACTCTACAGTGATGAAATATGTCGAGTAAGTGCTGTCCTCATGGAAGTGCCTTCTCCTCCAGAGAATTTCCCTTCTCCCCCCCACCCCGGGGACTATATAGAGGTTGAGGCTTTAAGTGTTGCTGTGCTCACAGAGGAAGCTTGCATGTGTGGCTTGCTCTGCCTGCAGCTCTGGCAGTACTGCTCTAACTGCGCTAGGTGGACCCCATGCTCCTTGGGAGTTAGTGCTGGGCACGTAAAGACATTTAGACTTGCATCTGGAGTGAGGTGGGATGTGCTCCCTACAAGACCTAGGCAAGAGCAAAAGTTGCCTTGCAGTTGCCCATTTAGGGGGCAGGTTCAGGAATTAGCTGAATTCACCTGGCATCACAACACTGTGGTTCTCTTTAGATCAGAGAAACTGCTTGGAGCTGGAGAAGCTCTACCTGTACAAGGTACTGTCCTTTGCCTCCTGGTCTTGCTGCCTGTGAGCAGGGAGTTACAATCTACTGGCCAAAACTACCAGTCTTACAGGTCCCAGCAGAGAACAGATGCAAAGGGCTGTCTATCAGCCTCCAGAACCCTCCTGGCACTTTTAAAGGCAATTCCTCAGAGACTGGGAATTTCAGTGCATGTCTAGGTAGTCAGCAAAGTCTGCTTTAGCAGAGTGGAGTGAAGGTAACGTTGGTGAATTTTGGTGTAGCTATAAAGGACTAGATTCTGGCTGTATAGAGGGAGGAAAAAAAAATATCAAGGTTTGTACACCAACTAGCCTTAGGGGGTAAGGCTAGGCATGTAGGATGGCACTATGTTGCCATCCTGTGGAGCAAGACCAGTGGTGTGAAGGAAAAGGTGTACAGGATTATACTGGGGGTTCAGTTCTGTCTGGTCTGTGAGGGACTGCTGAGGCACATCTGTGAGATGTCTGAAGTGCAGGGACAGGTCAGAGCTCTCGTACTGAGAACACGGCAGGAGTACAGAGCAATAACAAAGCTTTGGCTTCATTGCAGCTGAGAAACTGCAGTGGAAAATCTTTCTCTGCTCCCACATGAAGGAGGATTCTCTCAGTTCACCCACCTGACAAGGAATGAATGATCAAGAAAGATATTTATGGAAGCCTACGTTTAGATAAAACTTCAAGGGAAAAGGGCACAATAATCAATGTCACTGGCAGGTGGGTAGAGGAGGATGGAATATAAATCCTTACTCTGGTCAGGGCTTGTTAGTAGCTGACTGGAACATCTCAACCTGTGACTCTGGCTCTGTTCTTAAAACTAGGTATCTACTGTCATCTGTTAACTGCGGGTAACCTTTCCCTCTTCCAGGCTTCAAGCCAGGCAGTGCTAGAGAAATGGCAGAGTTTTCTGTCATGTCCCTTTTCTCATGGTTTAGGGCTATGCATGAGAAGACCATCCTCACCTCAGTGGACTTTTGTGTAAAATTGCTTGCTACGCAGAGCTTATGACGGGCAAACCTAGGTGGCTGTTATGGAGGCAACTGGCCCTCTGACCCCAAAATTCCCATCTTCAAATTCTCACTAAGTTTGATCTTCTTCCTTGTGATATTCAGCATCTGTACAGACCTGTTGGGTGAGTTAGGGAGACAGCCAGTGGGTGAAGAGCCAATACACTGCAGATAACACCCAGCTGAGCTTCTCCTCCCCGCAGTGCAGTGGAATAATTTCCTGCTCTCTTAGGGCTTGCCTGAATTCAGCACTTGGGGGAGGAATCATTGAATGGTGAAAGAGGTGATAATAGGAAAGCAGAAGTGCAAAAAATGTTTCTCTTATCCATGTCCCGCACTGTAAAAGTGACTGCTTTCATATCAAGACCGTCTTTAGCCTTGGAGCGCTTTGAACATCCACTGACAGCTAGAAGTACAAAATGGAGTGGTATAAAATCCACTAAACTATTCACACCCTTAGCTGGGACTGGCCAAAGGAGTTTATTGAGTTCAGACATGCGGAGCCACGTATACTATATTTCCAGGATGAGGTACTACAACACATGCTTGAGGACTGAAGTGCATGCTCTAAGTCGTCTCCAAATACAGCAGTCACACTCCTCAGCGGAAGGTGTGATTGGAGATGCATGATTTTAGTGCTCCGTTCTCTTCTCTTGTTCTTTCATACATACCAGCAGATGTTCTCACTCACTGATCACCATCTCCTCAGGAACAGCCCATAGCTGCATGAGAGATTGGCAGCAGAGAGAGGAATAACCTTGCGTGATGCTTTGTTCAATACGGTTATCAGCTAGCGTGGAGAGAACCATGATTCAAGGAGACAGAGCATTGACGAGAGCAAACTGCAGCCACCTGTATTAGAACAAACTCTTCCATTGGTGTATTTTTTCTTTCTATTGCTATTTATTTATTTAAGAGGAAGAATCATTGGCCCAAACACCACCAGGGACTAGGTATGGGATTAATGGTCCAGTTTGTCTGTTCTGGGTTCTGGGGAAAACGTTTGCCCTGCATAGTTTCCAGGTTTAGACAGCAACTAGTTTTGATCTGCACAGGCACCTGCCCAGGAAGCAGCCCAGGGCAGATCAAGGACTTGAGGTGGGTTTGGCATACAGCCATGGACAGAAATGCCATGGTAAGGCAGCTGAAGCCGGGTGTAGCAGTGAGATGGGTCACTACTCCTTGCTTTGTGGAGAGCAATTTGCGTGTAGTGCTTTCTGCCTCTGGACTTCAGATCATTTGTATGGCTCTTAATATTTCCTGCTTGGGCAGTAAGACTTTATGGCCCTAGTCTTTGTGGCTGATTAGAGCCCAAGTTTGTGCCCCTCTTTTAATCAGTGCTCATTTACCTTTGGCATCCTTCAGAGGAACAGAACGGTATGCCTTTCAGTTACCATGGAAACAGTGAGACTAAATGCACATTTCCATGGCAACCTGCCATTATCTTCAGCTCTATCTGTGGGTCTCATTTTCTGACCATGGGGGTGGGGTGGTGAAAATGGAGCTTCATTTCATCTAAAAAAAAGCACTGCTACCACCACCCCAAAGCCCCTTTCCTCTTCTCCCTCAGGCTTGGGGCCCAAGACACGCATGTGCTGAGATAGGCCTGTTACTACTGCCACCATCCCACAAGCTGGGGCTCTGAAGCATTGTCTTCAGCTCCCTTCTCTCCTTCACCCTTCTTCTAAAAATAGAGACGTTCGGAACAATTTGATGACAATGTTCCAACACTTCTCAGAGCTCTTTGTTTCCTCAACTAATGCTCCCAGAAAAAGCCCTTGAAGTTAATTGAACTTCCCAGTGGGTTTCAAAGGTCAACATGTTCCAGCTCCTTTTGGTCCAAAGGGCCAAGGGTTAATTACAGGGTCTAAGGCTCTCAGGGGAAGTCTTTGTCTGTGGCCAGAAGGGCCAGGGTGCAACACATTAACCTCAAGAGCAAGGGACTTTCTTGCAAGGGGGCAGCATGGACTGTTGCAGAAGCTCGTGCCCATCAGTTTTGTGTGCAATTCAGAGGATGCAGGGCAGAGAAACCAGGTGTTTGCCTTACGATGGATCTTGCAGCCCCCTGGCCAGAAGTGCTCTTGGCCGTTGCTAACATCTTTGCCTCCCCTGGCCACCAAGAATCAAAAAAAAAAGACAGGATT